TGGGGATTCGAACCCGCCACCTTAGGTGTATGTGGCTGGCGCCTTAGCCGCTTGAGCCACAGGCGCCGAGCCTAGAGATGGGGTTTTGCTTTTGCTCAGGCTGGTCTTGAACTCTTGAGCTCAAGCAATCCACCCGCTTTGGCCTCCCAGAGTGCTAGGATTACAGGCGTGAGTCACCGTTCCCAGCCTGTAGCCAGTGGGTTCTTAATATAACAGCAATATGTCATCCATCAAACTGTGTCAAACAAAACTGAAATTATTTCAGTATCTATAAAATTTTATATTGAATCTTGATATAAATGGTTAATGTGTTCATTAATGTTCTCCCTCTAAATTCCCTTAAATGAAAGTATGATTTAAAGAAAAGTGTTTTTTGTTTTTTTTTTTTTACCTTTCTCTTTATATTCAGGAATAGGATCATTATCTGCTGTGACGTTGGCTGTTTCCTAGGAAAAGAAATGTGTACGAAGGTAACTTCATTTCCTAAGTCTAGAAAACCAGAGCATAAACAGAAATCCAAAGCTCCCCCTGGACCAGACGGTGTAACGAAGTAGAATCTAATTTAGGAGAAAGCTGGTGGAAATCAAAGTTATTGCGCTTTATTAAGTTACATTTATTGCCATCTATATTTAAGGCTTCCCTATCAACTGTAAAAACTCAAGCATCAGTGCCGTATCAGTTATAGCTCATTGAGGATGACTTCTAATGCTCTGCAGAAGATCACTGCTAATTTGGTCTAATAAACTCTAGCAGCAGCACACAAAAGCTCCATGAGAAAAGGGAAATTAACAGCTGAGCTAAGACAAGGCGTAAGTCACAGCACCTGCAGTGTTTCTAACTCCCATACACGAGAGGAGAAAGCTCGTAACTCTTCGTATGTTTATGAATCTCTAATTTCCTGAATCCTGTGTAAATAAAGAATAATGAGGGAACTAAGGTCTATCAGATTTTTAAGAGGTGCCTGCAAATCCAGCATTCTCCTGCCTGACGATCCCTTTCCTTATGCTGAGTTATATATGCAGCAAAGTTCGATGGTCATTTTCGATGTCCTCTACCTTGGATGGCAGGTTCGCAAAGTTTGGAAATCCATCTTTCTGATGATTTTGCCCCATAGGATTCACGACTGCTCCTGAAAGAGAAATTAAGGGAGCTAGACACAAAAAAATTTATGTCTCTGACAAACACGTTTTCTTTTCTTTCTGAAACTGGGAAAATAAAACCTTGGTTGTAATGTTCATTTCTAAAGTTCAGTTTCATTCCTATGGAATGGTTACATATTTACACATGGGAAATAGCTTTCTAATGATCAAATATCACATAATATACTTTATTTGTTTATTTTTGAGACAGAGTCTCACTATGTCGCTCTTGGTAGAGTGCCTTGGCATCACAGCTCACAGCAACCACAAACTCTCAGGCTTAAGAGATTCTCTTGCCTCAGCCTGGGACTACAGGTGCCTGCCACAACACCTGGCTATTTTTTGTTGCAGTTGTTTAGCTGGCCTGGGCTGGGTTCAAACTCGCCGGCCTTAGTGTATGTGGCTGACGCTGTAACCACTGTGCTATGGGAGCTAAGCCCATATAATATACTTCAGTTCACTTAAAACATGAATAGCTACCTTAAATTATTGTTAGACATATGAAAAATATTAAAGTACAAAGTAAAAAATGGAAAGAAAAAAACATCGTTGTCAGTTTTTTGCACTTATATTTTAATTTTTTACTACATCTCCCTGGATTAGTTTAATTTTTATACCACTTTGTGTGCTAAGGTAATGAGGTAGTTACGTGTGAGCGTGTTAGTTATCGACCACAAACGCTCACCACCCCTCCCCAGCATAGACTATCACTTCCACCTGTTAGTGTCTGCGCTGAGGCAGGCTATGTAGCTTCTTGCAAAAGATTAAAACCCTGCCAGATTCTGCATTCATTTCTAACACTTTCACATGGACTTCTGGAAATTTTTATTTCACCTTCTAGTTTTCTGAGATTAGGTTCTAGTTTCTTAACTAGGGATTTCTTAAACTTAGGTTTAGTTTAATTACTTTGCTTAGAAGATTAGCGATAAAACGCAATCAAAACAAACCTCCTTGAACAACTCTGTCAGCCAACTAAATCAAAACAAACCTCCTTGAACAACTCTGTCAGCCAACTAAGGACAGACATCTGCTGACACTCCACACCAGGGGTCCTCAAACTTTTTTTTTTTTTTCGAGATGGAGCCTCAAGCTATCCCCCTGGGTAGAGTGCCATGGCATCACGCTCACAGCAACCTCCAACTTCTGGGCTCAAGCGAGTCTCCTGCCTCAGCCTCCCAAGTAGCTGGGACTACGGGCGCCTGCCACAACGCCCGGCCATTTTTTGGTTGCAGCCGTCATTGTTGTTTGGCGGGCCCAGGCTGGGGATTCGAACCCGCCACCTTAGGTGTATGTGGCTGGCGCCTCAGCTGCTTGAGCCACAGGCGCCGAGCCCTCAAACTTTTTAAACAGGAGGCCAGTTCACTGTCCCTCAGACCGTTGGAGGGCTGGACTTCGGGCTCTGGGACCAGTCGGCTGCTAAGCAGGACAGGCAGCAGTGGCAAAAACACCCAGGGGTCAGATAAATGTTGGGGGGGGCACATATGGCCCACGGGCATAGTTTGAGTATGCCTGCTCCACATAAAAGCAGAACACAAATTCTGGAGGGCGCCCTGAACCTTCTCTAGAACAGACCATATGCTAGGCCATTAAGGGCGCTTCAGCACTTGCATAAGGACTGAAATCATACAAAGTGTACTTTCTGACCACGGTGGAATTAAAGTAGAAATAAGTGACAGAAGGAAATTTTGGAGTTCATAAATACATAGAAATTGAACTGATTCATAATTAATTGAAGAAGAAATTACAACAGAAATTAGAAAATACTTTGAGATGAATGAAAATCAAAATACAAGATACCAAAATTTATGGGATGCAGCACAAGCAGTGCTTAGAGGGAAATCTTAGAGCTATAAATGCCAATCTTAGAAAAGAAGAAGGACATTAAATCAATACTCTAACCTTTCCCTTTAAGGGACTAGAAAAAGAGGAGCAAACGAAACTGAAGCAGCACAGAGGGACACGGCTAAGATGGGGTTGGAATAAATGAAACAGACTTTTTTAAAGTTGGCTTTTTGAAAAGATCAACAAGATTGACACTCTTTTAGCTAGACTTGCTGAGAAAGCAAAAGAAGAGACTCAAAATATTCAGTAGTAAATCAAGAACAAAAAAGACGACTAGGTATAACCTCATAGAAATATGCCAAAAAATTAGATAACTTAGATGAAAAGATATAAACTACTGAAACTCACTCAAGAAGAAACAAGCTCACAATTACAAGGGATTTTACCTAACAAATGCAAACAATGTAATCTCATTCTTTGTACCTTGGACTGACCTGAAACAATTAAAAAAGAAAAAGAAGAAATAAACAATTTGAATAAACCCATTCCAAGTAAAGAGACTGAATTAGTATTTTAAAACTTCACAAAAAGAAAAGTCCAGGCTCAGATGGCTTCACAGGTGAAATTCTACCAAACATTCAAGGACGATCAATGCCAGGCCTTCACAGATTCTGCCAAAACATTAAGTCATTCAATCTGAAATGTCCGATTTCAAAGCAGAAGTTTGGTTTGCTATATTTCAAACAGGAAGCAGCACAATTAATCAGAATATGCTCCTGAACTGTCCATGCAGTTTAGCCATCTCAGCCTTGGCTTGTGTCTGCCAGCAGTGAAGAAGCCTGGAGAGCAAGTGGTGATGAATTGTGAAAGGCGTTTCCCACAGCTTGCTGAGAATTGAGTATTTTCCTTCCAATAAATGGTCCAAAGCCTGGAAGAAGTGGCGGTCAGTCGGCGCAAGGCCAGGTGGACACAGCGGATGACAGCGTGTTTCCAAGTCCAGCTGCTGCAGTCTGAGCAGTGTTGTTTACCTGACGTGCTTGAGCGTTGTCTTGCAAGAGGATTGCCTCTGATTAATCTCAGGACTTAGTCGCAAACATCCTCATCATTTCATCTGCCTGGTTGCAGTGACATCATGAAGCTGTAGTGGGTAACACCAGCCCAACCCACCAGGTACCATTAGCATTTCTTGAGAACTACTCACTTTTAGACTGTTTCATCTCCACAATTGGCATTGTGCTGAATGCTTGTGATTATCAAATAGCATCCATTTCCATCACATGTAACAATATGGTTAGAAACGGTTCACCAGCTGTGACAGCTAAGAGAGGCAGCCTCCAGACGATTTCTCTTCTGATGCTGATTTAATGCCTGCGGAACCCACCTGGGCGATTCGTTTCAAAGGGTCCAGTGTTGTTGGAATAGCAACATCAATCCTTGCTACTAATTCCCAGTTAGGTTGAGATGAATTCGTTTCTACTATGGCTTTTAGCTCACCATTATTCAGCTTTCGCCCACATGGCTCAATGTCACAATTAAAATCATCAGAACAGAACTTCCCAACCCATCCCGGTGCTATGCATTCATTAGCCACACCCTTCCCAAACACTTAGCTGGTATCTCAAGCTGCCTGCACTGTACTGGTTTTACAACGGAACTTGTCTGCGAAAATAACACATATTTTTGACTTATCCCTGGTTTCACAAAAGTTGTTCTAAAATTTTTGAAAGACAATCACAAGTCGAAATGTGCATTAGAAAGAATGAAGATATATCTTCACAATAAAAAAGTAAGGACAGGGCGGCACCTGTGGTTCAAGGAATAGGATGCCGGCCCCATATACTGGGAGTGGCGGGTTCAAGCCCAGCCCTGGCCAAAACTGCAAAAATAAAATAAATAAATAAATAAATAAACTTATAAAAAAAATAAGGACAAAAAAACCCCAGCAAGCGTCAAAGCGAAATGTCAGCGATATCAACTGTCACACTTAGTACTTAAGGAAATTGTTCACTTCATATTTAATGACCTAACAAGAGGACAAAACAACTTCCAAACCATTCAATGAGGCCAGCTTTAGAGTCTGGTACCAATGCCAGGTAAAGACATCCGAAAAAACCTGCAGAACAATATTCCTTATAAACACAGATGCAAACATCCCCAATAAAACATAAACGATCCAAATCCAGAAACATGCAAGAAGAATCAGATATACTGAACACATGAGGCTTATTATCCTAGGAATCCGAGATTTGCCTAGGATCTGAAAGCCAGTCAACGACACTAACAGAAGGCAGGACAAAACCACATGCTCATTTCAGCAGACAGCAAAAAGGCATCTGACGAAATCCATAGTCTACCACAACGAACCCTGAGGAGCAGAGGGAACGCCCTCAGTCTGGGACAGGCCGTCTGTGAAAACCCACAGGCAACATCATTCCTGGTGAAAAACTGAGTGTCACCCTGAAGGCCAGGGACAGTGCGGGGACGGTGTGGAGAGGGAGTCTGGCCTTGCTGCTTCTGTTCAACATTACACCGAAGGGTCCAGCCAGAGCAACTGGGCAAGACAACATGACAAACATCCTGAACTAGGAATTCTTGCATAGAATAAAAGGTGAGGTTTCAGAACTGTAAAGGCACTGAAATTGCCTTTTGTTTGTGAAAAGAGAAATACTTCCTTGCCATATAAAATGAAAATTCAAAATGGCTAAGAAGCAAATAGAAAGCTGTAGGTTTCATGTCAAAACTGGAAACAGCTGCCGGTTGTTGAAATGTAAATGCAAACGGTGATAAGAACACCTGTGCCAAGAACAAGTGACAGAAAACAAAAGATTCTGGTTGCTTTAACATCCCTGTGACAGGCGGGATGCCTCATGCCACCTAGAGGCAGCAGCTTGCATTGCGGGGACAGTGCCTCGGAGGCAGAAAAAGGCCCTTCTGGGTGAGACCCCGAAAATCCCATCTGCAACTGAACGCCTGGGGGCTGGAATGTAAAGGGCCAAAAATTCCTCCAAACTGAAAACTACCCCACCAAAAAAAAACAATTCTAAAGAAATGTAGGCAAAACTGATTATCTGGATATATCTGTCTGTGGTGGCAGCAAAGACCCAATCTTTTTGCACATTTTCAGCAGGAGCTCCAGCCCCCACTTCAGTGGGCAGCTAACAGGGCACACCTGTGTGGAGGCCACACTCATGTTTCCAACAAGCCACCACTACTCACTCTTAACCTATATCATTCACTTTTTCAAAATTATAATTCAAAACACCAACTCAATAAATCATAATTAAATGATGCTATTTTAGTTCAGTGCCTTGTGGGTCAGTGGTTAGGGTGCCAGCCACACGCACCAGGGCTGGTGAGTTGGAACAACAATGATGATGATGATGATGACGACAATAACAAAAAATAGCCAGTTGTCGTGGCAGGTGCCTGTAGTCTGAGCGACTTGGGAGGCTGAGCCAAGAGAATCACTTGAGCCCAAGAGTTTGAGGTTGCTGTGAGCTGTGGCACTACAGCACTCTACTGAGGGTGACATAGTGAGACTCTGTCTGATAAAAAAAAAATACTAATGCTATTTTCTTTAGTAAAGGAGTAAGGCACTCTTCTCCTCCTCATCCTCAGCTTTACCTGTGTCTGTGTGCTAGATCAGTAAACAAGTGTCTTTCCACCAATCAGCTAAAATTCACAAACATGAAGTCACCTTTGCAGGTGCAGCTGAGCAGGGATCCACCCAGAGTGAGGAACTCTGTCCACTCTCAGTGCATGTCACTCCCCGCTGCACAGTGACTCACAGAGAGAAAATACACGCTAACATCTACCCCAGAACAAGGACATCTGAAGCACACCTGTGTGCCCTCTCAAACTGGCCTGAGTTTCCATCATCAACAGCCAGCCATGTGGTGGGGTCAGTGGCAGGAAAAGGCCTAGATGATGAAAAGGCTTTACAGTCCCTGGACTCCCTGAATTTCACTTGCTCAGCCAGTGTCAGAATGAAGCATTCTGCGGTACTGAACTACGTGAAGAAGCCGGGTGTAAAAGACACAGAGACGGCCTCATGGGAGAAGTCTGCTGGGACTGAATAGCCCTTTAACACAGAACATCTACGGAATAAAAGTCAGTCTGAAGCAATAGTTTTCTACAAACCTCAGGACTTCTTCATGTGTGCAAGGGCTCATGTGCATTAAACACAGTATATTACCAAATAACATCTCTGCAAATAAACAGAACAGAAAGGACGCCAACATGAAAAAACAAAAGAATAAAGGTTTCAACTTAAGACTCTCAGTCTACAAAATATATTCCCAAGATAAGTCAAGATCATCACTGTTGAAGTGAATAAATGGAATGAGCAGAACAAGTGACAAACAATAAATGCGGAAACTTCATGACCTTTAAAAGTGAGGCCTGGTGCACAGAGAGGTGACAAATGGGAGCGCTGGGCACTGGGAATGGACAGCAGGTAAGAAAGGCAGAGTTAAAGCCTGTGGCATGAAACAGTGGTGAAGAGGCAAAGAACAATCCCAAGATCATTGTGCAGGTATCATCATCTGCACTAAAATATGGGGGGGGGGGTTGGGGTGCTGTGGCTCACGCTGTAATCCTAGCACTCTGGGAGGCCGAGGCAGGTGGAGTGCCCTGAGCTCATAGGCTCCAGACCAGCCTGAGCAAGAAGGAGACTCATCTCTACTAAAAATAGAAAAACTAGGCAAATTTTTGAGGCAAGAGGATGCTTGAGCCCAAGTTGGAGGTGGCTGTGAGGTATGACATCATAGCACTCTGCCCAGGGCAACCGCTTGAGACTCTGTCTCAAATATAAAATAAAATATCGGCAGAATCCAGTTATACTTAATCATATCTTAATTATAAAACAAAGAATAACATTATCTGAAATCTTATTTTTTTTTTGAGACAGGGTCTCACTTTGTTGGCTGGGCCAGTGGTGTCATAATAGCTCCCAGCAACCCTCAAACTCCTGGGCTCCTTCCCTCAGCCTCCTGAGCAGCTGAGACTGCAGGTGCATACATACCACCATGCCCAGCTAACTTTTCTGTTTTCCAGGCGTCCTCAAACTGCAGCCTGCCAGGACATTTATCCGGCCTGCCGGGTGTTTTTGCCACCACTGCCTGTCCTGCTTAGCCACTGCCTATCCTTTTGAACTACTGTCCGGCCCTCCAGCGGTCTGAGGGACAGTGAACTGGCCCCCTGTTTAAAAAGTCTGAGGACCCCTGGAGAAGACTGAGTCTCACTATGTTGTTCAGGCTGGTCTTGAATTCCTGGCCTCAGTACTCCCACCTGGGCCTCCCAAACTGTTAGGGTTACAGGCATGAGCCACTATACCTGGCCTGTATTTTTCTTAAATATTGTGATTCTAATCAGGTTTATGACTCAAAAGAGTTTCCGAGTTTGGAACAGAGAGCTGATTCTGTCAGCTGCTAAAAACGAAACATTTTAAAAAGTATAGTTGTAAGCAATAATGAAAGAAAAAACAACAGGTAACAGACTAGGAAGTGGTAGAAAGAAGGGTGTTGTATCGTAGGGCAGGACAGGGGAGAAGTGTCAAAAGGAAATGTGAAGCTACAATGTCCCCTCCAGATAAAAGCCACAGGGAACGGTGAGTCTGCGTCTCAGATAAAACACAGTATTTACATATTCAAGCCGTGCCTCCTCTAAGATGGATTGAGAGTCAGATCATATAAGTGTTTACCGTAGTTTGTAATTAAATGGATGGCTCGCTGATGCCCCATCTCCTGGAGGACCTGCAGAAGGTCACCGAGGGTCTTGTTTTTCTGTGCCCAGGACCACAGCAATTCTCTTGTCCCACTTCTACCTTGATCCACGTATTTTTCAATATGACGGACATCCAGCCAGCTGTTTGAGAGCCGCTCCGCTGTGGAAATTGCAACAGACAAGAGCCAAGGACAGTTAGACGTACTTTGATTGGAATTATTTTTTTAATTGAAAACAGGAGCAAATGTCAAGAATACTTGTTTTAGATAACCTGTATATCTTATTTCATCTCATTTATAGCTTTTTTTTATTTTGAATTAATTCAGCATACAGTCCTTACCCACCTTCTGCTCATGATAACTTCTTAGTAACTACAACCCAGCCATCCGAATCAGCAGCAACTGAACGGCAGACCGTGTTCTAACTCCACTCAGTAGTTTTCCACCTGTCCTCTTTTCTTTTCTAAGATCCTGTCCAGTTTCACACACAGCAGTTACATTGTTCCTTCTCCTTACTCTCCCCAATCTGTGAGGTTCCCCAGTCTTTCCTTGTCCTTCAGGAGAGGGAAAGGACACAATGTCCTGCTCGGTGTGTGGCATCAAGAGGGCCACGGTCTAAGTGTCTCCTCACCATCATGTTCGTCTTGATTGTCTGGTCAAAGTGGACTGTGCAATGTCTCCCCACTACAGAATTATCTTTCCCTTTATAGGTATCAAGTCTGCTGGAGAGGTACTTTGAGATTATGGAAATTCTCTGCTTCTCACATTTGGCCACTGGCACCCACAGGCACCAGCAGGTCACACTCAGGTCTGCCTGCTGCACACATTCTAAGCTGCTTTCCCTTCTATGTTCATTCACTGTAACTGTTCTGTAGGAAAGAGCTGTCCCTTCTCCCCCATTTATTTATTTATTCAATTTTTTATTTACATCAGTATGGACTCACAGATGTTTATTTCACTCTATAGGTTAAAGTCCAACACTATCTATCTATTTTGTTGCTAAAACTGCTCTGGCTTTGCCCAACTAGCTTGGCTCTTGCGTTCTTCTGACAAGCCCTTTTATTTTATTTATTTCAGGTTAAGGTGAGGGTACAACCAGGTCACGGTGTTAGCATTTCTCGGCAGAGTCCCAGTTGTAGCTGCGCCCTGCA